TGGCTGATGGAACAACCTAATCTGCCCAAAGGTTGTCTGTCCTGCAGGGGGCGAGATGGAGCCAGGGGGCTGGAGGGGACTGTCCCCCAGAGGCCAGGAGGGCAGCTGGAAGAACAGTAGGATGGAGGACCGGAGCCTAGTGAGTGAGTGCTGGGCTGGACTGGCCAGGCCAGTGGTCCTGAGAAACCCAGAGGAGAGGACATCGGTGGGCATAGTTAGGGCCAGCTTCCCAGGTGCAGGGAAGAGCCAAGTGAGGCTTGTCTCCGCTCGTATTGGGGGACCCCAACAAGAGGCCTCAGTTTCCCCATCATCAATGCTTTATGGGGGTGGGCACTCTAGGTCTGACCCCACCCTTAGTTCTGACCCTTACCATCCCTTCCTGCACCTGGGTGAGTTGGGTGCAGGAGAAGGAGTGGGGGGAGGTCTTGGTGGTGCCGGATGCTGCCCAGATCCTGCCTAGGGGCAGCCTTTCTGAGTGCTGCCAGTTTGCACTGCTGGGCCTCCTTCCCTTCCTGGGGAAGGGGCAGGGGTGGGCGGGCGATCAGTTGTCTCCTGTGGTGGGGAGGCCAGTTCCAGCTGGGGCTCCCCAGAAACACTGCTGCAGTGGGGTGGGGGAGAGGGGAAGCCTTCGGTGGGCCAGGCGGTCCCGCCCCGCAGACAACCACCCTGTGTGGTAGATGGATTGGTCCTCTGTGCATTAGCGGGGGCGGCTAAGATGCCTCATCAATATTTTAAGGAATGACCTGGCCGTGGGATCCGGAACTGCGTGCTGCGGGGGTTGACAACTGGTCTTCTTTTTCTTTTCCAATTGTCAGCGCTATTTTTACCACCGGAAGGCCAGCCGCCCCCTCTCCCAGGCCTCTACTCATAGGAGTGGGGGAGGGTCTCTGGTCTGGTTCCTGTGGGAGTGGTTAGGAGAGTCTGCGCTTGGAAAGCAGAGATTCTTAGGCTTCCCCTGCCCCGCCTCCCTGAAGCCCCCTCCCATCCTGCTCCAGCCCTGGCGAGATGGGAACAAAAAACATTTATCCAGCAGGAGAAGCCAGAAAGCCCAGCTGAGCCTGGAAAAAAAGAAACACAAAGCCCGGGTGATGATCAAGGGAGGGTGGTCTGCCCGCGCAAGGCCCCTGGGGAGCCAGCACCTAATGCCCAGACCCCATGGGCTCCCTTTGTCTCCAGCCCCAATCCTCAAAGAAGCCTGTGAAGGTGAGAGGAGGCCCCCCGCCTGCCCCTGGTCCCAGTGGAGTGTAGAAGGGCCCCAGTAACAAATGTCCAAGAGCCATCAGAATCGGGGGCCACTAGAGCCACTGCTCCAGCACCCCATTTTAGTCATGGAAGCTGAGGCCTGGGGAGGCCCATCCTGCACAGTCCTGCCCTGACTCACAGGTCTCTGCTGGCCCTCGGGGGCCATAGGAGGAGCCACTCACCCAGAGAGCAGTCTGGTCAGGCCTTGAGCCCAGGTCAGCCACGGTCCCTGCACATGGTCGCACCCCAGTTCTGGCCCCCAGCACAGCCTTGCCCCTGCTGGGTCTGAGTCCTCTTCCCTGTGACTTGCAGCCTCCCCTTTGCAGAGCGGCATGTCTGGGCCCCAGCCTCCCCATCTGTAATTAAGTATGGGGCTTCCTGCTGACCCTGCTGCTTGTGACTTTTATCTTTGGCTGCTCAACCCCTGCCACGTCTGTGTAGCCCCGCTGGACCCAGGGGACACTGAGGCTGCTGTGCAGGGCATCAGGCCTACAGACTGCTGGCCAGCAACAAGGTGGGTGGGGAAGGTCAAGCTAGGACCATCTTCCCAGGCCAGTCCCTCCTGAGGACGCGGCCACAGCCACCATATCCTTAGCAAATTCCTCTCTGAGTGCCACCCCCACCTCCAGTGAGGGCGAGCAGGGGCCGCCCTGTGAGAGCCTGTCCCCAGGGCTCTGTCTCTGCTCTGCCCCTTCTTGCCAAGCATATTGTCAGCCAGCAGGAAGAGCAGGGAGGAACAGAGATTAATGCCAGAGGATGGGGAATGGGGACTGACTTCCTCCCTGTCCCCACCTGCCCCGTGTGGGAGGTGGGAGCAAAATTGTGTCAAACAGGGGCCTCCACACTTGGGGATGGCTCCAGTGCTAGCCCTTCCGGTGCCATGTCATCCAGTCTGACCCTCCTGGTGGTCTCAGTGGTACAGCGGGAGGTGGTCCCTTTGGGGAACACTGCCCTGCTGGGTAAATGGATGGGCTTGGAGCAATTTACACCTTGCTAGGGGGGATGTACAGGAGAGGATTGTGGGAGCTCAGAGGAGACACTCATGCCACCTGGCAGGGAGAGGTCAGGGAAGGCTCCCTGGAGGAAGTGTCCCTGGATTAATTATTGAAGGGTGAGTGGGATTAAGCCAGATAAAGAAAGGCAGAAGAGCAGGGTATGAGAAAGGCTCAGCATGAGCCAAGCTCATGGGTGCCTCAGTCCCCCTCCCAGGTATTGCTCAGGCCTACAGGGAGAGCACTCTTCATTCTCTTCAACCAGGAAGCCCAAAGCAGGCCCCGCTCCTCCAGGAAATCTAGCTCCCTGTTGCCTCTCCGCCAGTACTAGGGCAGGAGACCTGCTGGTTTAGAAAACGCCCCTCTATGCTAAGTGGCATCATCAAGTGTCCTGTTTTCTCCCTGGGACTGTCCTGTGGTTATTGACTGCAGCTCAATGGCGAGGTGCCCCAAGGTGAGAGGGAATTCCCACAGTGCCCTATGGCCCGGAGGCCCTGCACATGATCTCACAGAAGTGGGGCAGCTATTTTTACCTGGCTTTAATTACAGAGTTTGGATCCCAGAGGAGAGATGAGAGGTACTCCCAAAAGCTTCAAGGGCTATGCCAGGAAATGTAGGATCCTGGGAGGGCAGCTGAGGGCATGGCCCTCTGTCTTAGTTCCCCTAACACTGGGCTGGCCCCCTCGGGTGGGCTCCCCAAGGCTCACCCTCTTCTCCACTGGTAACTTCACCCTAGCCCTTCCCAGGGAGAGGGTTGCATAAACACAATGGGCTGTGCCTGTGTCCCAGTGGCCACATGGGACACACAGAGGCGGAGCCCCCAAATACCAAGTAGTTTGGCAATCCAGAATGAGGGCTGGGGGGCCAGGGAATAAGGAGGAGGGAGCTGGGTGAGGAGACAGCTGGGATTCCTGGATTGGAGCCTCTTCAAGAGGGTGGATTTGGATGGGCGCTCTGGAGGCAACAGGTCTCCAGGAGGTGGGAACACAAGTACAGCGTGCAGGCCACTGTGATGGAAAGAAGTCTGAGGAGGCAGTACCCTCAATGCCAGTATGAAAAGTTAGTCATACTTGATCCACACTAGGAGGTGGCCCCCAAGCCCTGGAGTAGGGGTGAGAACCCCAGGCCTGTCATTAACAAGCTGTGTGTCCCCATGCCCCGTGGGACAGTTTAGGTGGTGACAGCTGTGACATGCCCAGTAGCCGGACACATTCATTTATTCATTCATTCGTTGTTTACAGGGTACCTATCATGTGCCAAGCACTGGGGACACAGCCACTTATAAGACTGTTAGAATACCTGCCTCGTGGAGCTGGCATTCACCAAGCGAGTGAATAAGTGTTATGTCGGACGAGGGTAAACATGATGGAGAAAAGGAAGCTGGCAAAGGGCAGGAGATGCCAGTGCTGGGGGGAGTGGGAGCATTTCTTATTCTCAGGAGAGTGGTGGTCAGGAAAGGCTATCAGACAAGATGGTATTGGAGCAGGAACCTGAAGGAGGTGAGAGAATGTGAAGGAAAGAATATTCCAGGGAAGTGCAAAGGGCCTGAGGTAGAAATATGACGGCCATGCTTCCGCAATGACAAGGAGGCAGGTGTGGCCAGAGCAGAATGGGCAAGAAGAGTGGCAGGAGGTAAGCTCAGGCAGGTAAGTGGAGGCAGATTGTGTGAGGTCTTCGGGGCCAAGGGTAGGACGTTGGCTTTACTCTGAGTGGAATGGGAGCCATTGCAGATTTTGAGCAGAGGAGGGACCTGATCTGTCTTATGTTTTAGAAATGGTGACTGGGTTCCCGAGTGGGGAATAGTCCTATATAGTGAGGTCAGTTTCTGGAGAAGAGGCTGCTAACGTGCTGCCTACAAGAGAAGCGGTTCTGTGGGTCCCTGGGCAGCACCTGGATGGCAATGAGGGAGGAGAGGCTGGGTTCCCCGCATATTTCCGAAGTAGAGCCCAAAGGATTGCACATGACTCCTGGTCCAGGGGCTTTGGGAGCCCTCAAAAACCTTAGCGAAGTGAGGTCACGGAGGCTCATGGGGACCCCACTTCAAGGCACCTGTTTTCCCAGCCTCCTTTTGCTGCCCCAGGAATGACCTTGGGGTCCCTGACTGAGGCAGCTGTTTGAAGAGACAGTAAATGGGGTCCCCCCGCCTGTAGGCACTGCCTTCTACCTCCCTGGTGGTCCTCTTCACACATGGGCTCAGAAAGGCTGCCTGTTGTAGAACCGCCCCTCACCCACCCACACACACAGGCTGTGAGAAATGCTCAACGGTGTTGGGGGAATGAGACAAACACTCAAAACTGGATGGGCACGGCCGGCTGACTTCTGCAGAGGGTGCAGTTGCTGCTGAGAATCATGGGCAAAGCACACCAAATGGGAAGTCCGTTTGGGTTTTATTTCCAGCCCCGGGGTCTCCCCGGCCCCTCACTCTCACTCTGACTTGATTGGTCAGGGCTCCGAGCTCGGGTTCACATTATTGCGGGATTGGCTAATTCAGAGGAAGAAGCACTAAGGTGGAGGCCACCATGACCCTGAGAATCTGAAGGTCATATCAACATGGCAGACCCTTTCTTTGACAGAACAGGTCACTGGTTTCTCTCTCTCTCTCTCTCTCTCTCTCTCTCTCTCTCTCTCTCTCTCTCTCTCTCTCACACACACACACACACACACACACACACACACACGGGGAGCCTTGGGGGAGCGGGGCCAGAGAGGGGACAGGCGGGCACTCTGGCCAGAGGGCACAAAGTCACCAGAGCTCTTCTCCCGCAGCTGCAGAGGGCTGCGATGGGACGGAAGCCATGAATGGTGCCGCCTCCGGCCCCGCCGCCCCCGCCGCCCCGGTCCCGGTCCCGGTCCCGATCCCGGACTGGCGGCAGTTCTGCGAGCTGCACGCACAGGCGGCCGCCGTGGACTTCGCGCACAAGTTCTGCCGTTTCCTGCGGGACAACCCGGCCTACGACACCCCGGACGCCGGGGCCTCCTTCTCCCGCCACTTCGCCGCCAACTTCCTGGACGCCTTCAGCGAGGAGGTGCGCCGCGTGCTGGCGGCCGAGCGCGCGGACGCCATGGAGCCCCGGCCGGCGGCGCTCAAGGCGGCGGCGTGCGGCCACTCGCGGAGCTCCGAGGACGTGTCGGTGCGCGCGGCGGCCAAGGCCCGCGTCCGCAAGGGCTTCTCGCTGCGCAACATGAGCCTGTGCGTGGTGGACGGCGTGCGCGACATGTGGCACCGGCGCGCCTCGCCCGAGCCCGACGCCACCGCGCGGGCCCCCGAGCCCCCGGCCGACGCCCGCGACAGATGGACGCGGCGCTGGCGGCTGTCGCGGACGCTCGCGGCCAAGGTGGAGCTGGTGGACATCCAGCGCGAGGGCGCGCTGCGCTTCATGGTGGCGGACGATGCGGCCGCGGGCCCCGGGGCCGCCCAGTGGCAGAAGTGCCGCCTGCTCCTGCGCAGGGCCGTGGCCGGCGAGCGCTTCCGCCTGGAGTTCTTCGTCCCGCCCAAGGTGAGCGCCCTGCCCCGCCCGAGAGAGGGTGGGTGCTGGGCACGGCCTGGCCTTAGCGCCTGGGTCCCGGGATGTGGCCGCGCTGCCCCGTCCACACGGCACCCCCCAGGCCTCTGCGCCTGTGAGGTGTCGGAGGGGCTCTCCGGCTGCAGGACAGGCGCTGGGTGCTGTTTTTCGTGCTGCTGGGACCCGGGCGCCCTGCCCTCTTCCTTCCCTGGGTGGCTGGAGTGCGGGATGAGGGCAGGGAGCGCCCGGCACCCTTCCAGGCCCCGGAAGGGCCGCCTCTGTCCTGGTGGGAACCTGTGGGTCCCAGGCCGGCCGCTAGGCTGCGGCTCAGCCCCTGCCCGGGTGGCCCTTCTGTGGCCTCAGGTTTCAAAGGCTCAGCTCCAGCTGCTGCCTCCATTGCTGCTCAACCGAGTGCTGTCCCCGTTCCCTCTCTAGGTCCCCGATCCCTCTCTAGGAGGCTCCCCAAAAGCGCCCTGGGCACAGCCTGGGGTCTCCTCCAGGTGGCAGACCTGCCGTGCTCGGAAAGGGGCAATGCCGGTAACATAGTGCCCATTCCTGAGAGCCCAGCGGGTGGGCAGCCTCATCCTCCCTGCACTCCACAGGGTGGGCCCCACGGTCTCAGGGTCACAGAAGAGAAAACAAATGAATATCGGGGGCCAGGGGGTGGAGGTGGCCTGCCCAAAGCACATAGCTTGTGGTGGCAGCGCTGGGCGACCTATGCCCACCACCTGGTGGTCCCCGCAATGAACGGAGCGGCGAGGTGAGAGCACCGTGTGCACTGGGAGGTTCAGGAAGGTGGTGACACCCCCAAGAGCCACCCAGGGCTGCCACTGGCCTCGCCCACTCTGTCCTCAGTGCCTGTAGTCACTGCGTCTCGCCTCTGTCCCCGTCTCCAAGGTTGTCGGAGCCGTGGGCTCCATTGGAGGGACAGGGTCTGGACTACCCAGGGGCATCCTCGGTCTGAAGAGCTTTCTTCCCAAGTCCCGGGACACTCACTCACCCCAGACTCCCCGGGCTGTGTGCTTGCCAAGGCCCCCACAGTGCATCCCAGAGAGAAATCACAGACTAAGAAGCCCCCCGCCCCGCTTGTGAGACACGGAGACCAGGCCCAGGGAGGGTGGGGAATGAGGTGGGGCTTGCTCAGGGTCACCCAAAGGGCAGAGGAAGAGGCCCGGCCTCCAGGCCCTGAGTGGCAGGCACAGCTGCCCTGCTGTCAATCCCAGCAAATGCTGCCTGGGGGGGGGGGGGGGGGAGAGGGGGGTGTGCGGGCGGGTGCAGCAGCTGGCGCCTTGGCTGTCCCACTAAGCCCACTGCCCACCACTGCAGAGGGCAGGGTCACTTCCCCACCTCTGAGGAAGGCAGGCGGTTTCCTCCCGCCCCCCCAACCCTTCGTTTTGGGGGGAGAGGTATATTTTTACTTCAGAGAGGAAGGGAGAGAGATAGAAACATCAATGATGAGAGAGAATCATTGATCAGCTGCCTCCTGCACACCCCACACTGGGGATCGAGTCCCCAACCCGGGCATGTGCCCTGACCAGAAATCGAACTGTGACCCCCTGGTTCATAGGTCGATGCTCAACCGCTGAGCTATGCCAGCCGGGCCAACCCTTTGTTTTTGTTTGCAAATGTTTGGGAATTCAGCTGGTAGGAAGGTGGATCATACCGTGGTAAGGACTCAAGCCCGGTTTCCCAAATGTATGCCCCAGGTAGACCCTGCTGATAAGCCCCACTGTCTTTTAGTCCTGGAGGCCTAGCTGCACCCCTGGAGTGGACAGGAGCTCATGTGGGGGGCTGTTTCCTGGGACTCTACGACTTTCCTCTCACACAGCCCCATGAATCAGGCCTCTGGCCTCCCTCCCCTCAGAGCCCGGTGCAAGGCTGGCCCCTGCCATTGCGGAGCCACCAGGAGGCCAGTATTTGCAAGACTGGATGGTAAACCTCAACGGTGAGCACTGGGTGCTCCAGGGCCCCAAGGTGGTGAAGCTCAGGCTGCATAAGTGCTCCCCAAGCAGCAGGGCCCCCGGACAGGCATTTTCCAGAGGCACGAGCTATAAATAAGTGATGGTCTGCAGTCATGAAACAGCCTATGGCTCTGTCCAGAGAACAGGGGGCAAGGCATCTGGGCCAGGACAGACAGGCCTCAAATGTCAGGCGGGGGAATGAGGATCTCCTGCCAGCAGGAGCCCAGCCGAGGTTGCCAGTCCAGGCCTTTGCTGCGTACCTCTGTCTGTTCCATGCGCTCCGGTGGCCCCTACCCCAGTGGCTGGCGCAGTGACCTGGCCTGCCATGGTCAACGGAGCCCCTCCATCACCACTCCAAGCCTAGCCCTGCACCCGCTGGATGGTAGCCAGTGCTGCCAGGAATTCCCATTTGCCTGCCTCCCCCCCAACATGTGGTCCTGCCCTTTCCTCCTGAGAAAGTCCCTGTCCCAGAGCCCAAGCCCTGCCAGGAATCTGCCTCAAGCCACCCCAGGGGGCTTTCGGGTCATGGCCAGGAGCTTTGGGGCAAAGTAGGGAGGGCCAGGCACAGTAGCCCTCCCTGGGAGTCCTGCCAGCTCACCTTGGTTGAACCCCACACGGGTCCCTTTTCCTCCCCCGGAAGGTACGGCCCTGCCCAGTTCCAGGAACCCTGTCTGAGTAGGGCTCCAGAGCTGTGCTCTGGGAAGTCTAATTTGAAGGAGGAGACCTGCGTTATTTTTAAATGAACTAGAATAAAATAGAAAATACCACACTCCATCACACAGTCAGGGTAAACAGTGTCTGCCGAAACTTTCATTTCAGAGGTAGTCTTACCTGTGTGTGTACTGGGTCACAATGTCAAATGTATTTCTTACTATGAGTCAAGGTAAAAAACGTGAAAACCACAGACCTGGTGGTGCAGCGGGCAGAAGGGCAGCCCAGGCACAGTCCACCCTGCAGGGCTCACAGGCGGGAGACTCTGATGTCAATCCCAGCCCTGCCCCTCACTTGCTCTGTGACTATATGAGGAGGTCCCTTTGTTTCCCAGAGACTCCCTCAACTTACCTGTCTGTGAAATGGGGATTGGTACACCTTCGTGCCACTGCTGCTATGGCATCCTAAGCGGGGGGCTGCTCTGCCATCTGGGAAGTGGGGCGGGTAGAGAGGGTTCAGGAGGCCCTGTGGTGACTCTCACTGCCCCTTCCTCTGGCGTCGCAGGCCTCCAGGCCCAAGGTCAGCATCCCCCTCTCCGCCATTATCGAGGTCCGTACCACCATGCCCCTGGAGATGCCCGAGAAGGACAACACGTTTGTGCTCAAGGTGAGTCTCACCCTCAGTCCTATGGGTCCTCTGGCTGCCCCAGACTGCCGCCCTCATGGCGGCTCAGCTTGTGGCCACTGCAGGGGGAGGGGTTCCAGTTGGGTGGGTCTTAGGACCCTGCACAGATGTCAGGCACCTCGCAGCGACTTGAATCTAGGCCCGGGCTTTAGAACCAAGCACCTTGGGTGTCACCCACCTTCTGGGGCCTCCTGTTCTTATTTCCTTCTGGGCCCCCGGGAAGCTCCTCTGAGTTTCACTTCCTCCCTTCCCCCCCTACACACACACACACACACACACACACACACTCACACACACACTCACACACACACACTCTCACACACACACACACACACTCACACACTCACACACACACACTCACACACACACACTCACACACACTCACACACACATACACACTCACACTCACACACACACACACACTCACATACACACACACACTCACACACACACTCACACCACACACACACTCACACACACTCACACACAACACACTCACACACACACCACACCTCACACACACATACACTCACACGCACTCACACACACACACACACTCACACACACACACGCACTCACACACACGCACTCACACACACACGCACTCACACACACACGCACTCACACACACACACTCACACACACACACTCACACACACGCACACACACGCGCACACACACACTCACACACACACACACTACACACACACACACTCACACACACACACACTCACACACACACGCACTCACACACACACACACACTCACACACACACACTCACACACACATACACTCACACACACACGCACTCACACACACACACTCACACACACACACTCACACACACGCACACACACACGCGCGCACACACACACTCACACACACACACTCACACACACACACACTCACACACACACACACTCACACACACACGCACTCACACACACTCACACACACGCACACACACACGCACACACACACGCACACACTCACACACACACACACACACACACACTGGAGCCAGCACATACCCACCCCGTGGGCAGGCAAACGGGTGCCGGACTGCAGCAGTTTCACAAATGCCCCCGTCACAGAGCACATGGTCCCACAGAGGCACTAAAGGTGGGCAGGGAGGCACCCCGGTGGACTGGGTGCAGTGCGTCCTTTCCCCAGGACCCATGTCACTGGGGTAGCCTGCTCGGGTCGCTGAGGACAGGGCTCCTGGCTGCCAGAGCTGTGCCCTGTGCCTCCTCAGAGGAGTAAAGGATGTTTGGAGACCTGGTTCCTCCCACCCCAAGCTGCATGGAGCCCCCACCCTCTTCTCCAGGCTCCTGGCTGGGTTTCTGCTTTTGTTCTCCCCTGTTTGTTCAGTCACGAACTCCCTTATTCACTTAGCAAACATTTGCCAACCCCATAGCCTGAGTCACCTCAAGCTGGGGGCTGAGGATACAGCCCCTCCCTGCATGGCATTCCCATCTGCTGGGTGAGACAGGTCCAGAGCATCACTCCCGACAGCGGAGGGGCCTCTGTGCTGCTGACTGTGCTCAGCCCCACTCTGGGCCTCCGTGTCCCCCGTCTATTCAGAAAAGGACCCTCCCAGCTCTGGGATGCATTGTCACTGAGGCACACAGGAAGCTGAGAGCACGCAGAGACCTGGGTTCATGTCCCAGCACTGCCAGAGTGCTGGTGGGGCTCTAAGCCAGTTACCTGGCCTCTCTGAACCTCAGTCTTCTCATCTGAGAAGGGGGAAGCACACTGCCTCCCTCCCAGGGCTGTTGGGAAGAGTTCACCACATAATGAATGTGCAGGAGGGCACTCTGGGCCTGGCCCACAGCCAGGGCTTTCCCCTCCTCTCCCCCCGTGGAGGCTGCTATCCCAGGGTGTGGCCTCAGAGGAAGAGTTCCAGCCACTGAGGCAGGTGAGTTCCTCAACTCAGTGCTGAGCTGGCTGGCCCCTTGGCTGACTTGAGGGTTGTGAGGTCCTTTCACCTCATCTCCAGGGTGCCAGCCCGCCCTTCCCCAGGCAGCATGGCCTCCCGAGGCTTCATCTCGGGTGCCTGAGCATCATCCCCGTCACCCCCAAGGGCTGCTGAGAGTGTGGGAGGAGGCTGTACCCCAGGACCTTGGCCCGGGTTGGGGTGGTGCTTGATGATGACCCCACTGTCTTCCCTGATGCTCACACCAGTGAGCCACCCTGGGGAAGGGGAGGATGAGCCGTTTGTCCTGGGGTCTGGAGGCCCCTGTGAGAATGGCAGAGGTTAGGGTACTGACTACCGTCCGGACTCCTGGCACCCCTTCCCCAGGTGGAGAATGGAGCAGAGTACATCCTGGAGACCATCGACTCGCTGCAGAAGCACTCGTGGGTGGCTGACATCCAGGGCTGCGTGGACCCTGGGTGAGTGCCCAAGTGGCACTAGGACAGGTGGGCAGGTTGGAGGTAGCTAGCTGGTGCTGAGCTCCAGAAAAGGACTTTTCTCATGGCGGTTCTCTCCAGGTTGGTGCCGGCCATTCATCCGTACCCCCACCCCTATCCCCAGCAGGCTTTTTGAGGCCTGCTCTGCAGGGCCAGGGCCTGGGGACCTAGGAGGAAGTTGGATCAAGTCTTGTTCTCGCCCCAAGGGAGCCTGAGACCACTAGGAGAAGGGCAGTGGTGATGGGGGGAGGCGCAGCCCAAAGGTATAGGGGTGGGGGAATAGAGGAGAGGTCCCTAACCCAGCCTGGGGCTCAGATACGGCATGCAGGTAGAGGTGCTCACCATCTCAGAGGCTTAAAGAAAGAGTGGCCCTGAGCCAGGCAGAGGGGGCTGGGGGAGGGGAGGGCAGAGAGAACATTCCAGCAAAAGGTGTGGAGGTGTGTGTGAGCCTGGAACTTGCAGGAACATTGAGGCCTTCAGGTTGTTAGAATTAGAGCTGGTGAGGAGGGGACTTTGAGGAGAGCCCGAGAGGCTGTTAAGTCAGGGCCAGTGGGGAGCCATGGGTGGCAGTAAAGGGGCAGCTGTGGTCAGCTGTGCACAGGAAGAGCAGCAGGGCGGCTGGCTGCACCATCCAGGAGAGATCCTGAGGCGGGAGAAGGAGGGGCAGGCAGACCAGCAGCAGAGCATTTGGCAACAGCTCTTCTGGCTAATGGGGTGAGCGGAACCCCAGGGGGAGGGGCTGCTGCTTTCTAATTAACAGCTTCATTTAAGGAAGCACGACTGAAGTCCTGAGTGCCACCCAGGCCCCCGATCCCCAAAGTGGTTATAATCCATCCCCTGCCACCCTTCCAACCATCTGTCCTACAAACTCTTTCCTCAGACCCTGTGAAGGTGAGCCTTGCTGTATTTTACAGCTGGCAGGGTCACAATGGGGAGAGGAAGGCCTGAGGCAGGGAAGGCAGCTGCCCAAGCCCCACCCACTGCCAGGCCCTGCCACCATTCGTGGGACTCCAAGGGGCCCCAGGAGGAGGCCAGCCCTTTGTGGGTTAGTAGGCAGGGGTCGTGTGACCTCAAGGAGGACTGTCCACCTGGAGACCTCTCTCATATGGCCCAGTCACACATAGCAGCCAAAGAGCAAGCTGGGAGTGTGACAGAGGGACATGGAGGCACAGGGACCTCAGGTGAGCCACGGCCTGGTTCAGTGAGCTGTCCAGGGTCCGAATCCCATGGCAGAACAGGGCTATGCTTTCTTCCTTCGCAGGGACAGCGAGGAAGACGCAGAGCTGTCCTGTGCCCGGGGAGGCTGTCTGGCCAGCCGCGTGGCCTCCTGCAGCTGTGAGCTCCTCACGGAGGGTAGGTGGGGCAGAGCTGGCTGGAGTTGTGGATGGCAGGGTGGACGGGGGTGGTCAGACAGATGTGCTTCTTACCTGCCACTTCTCCAGCAGTGGACCTGCCCCGGCCCCCAGAGACAACCGCAGCCGTGGTGACAGCCCCACACAGCCGAGCTCGAGATGCCGTCGGCGAGTCCCTGGTCCATGTCCCACTGGAGACCTTCCTGGAGACTCTGGAATCCCCGGGCGGCAGCGGTGGTGACAGCAATAACACAGGTGCAGTGGGGCAGCCTGCTCTCCTAGCCCCTCCTTCCTCCAAAGCCTTCCTGAGCCTCAGAAGTTGTAACATTTCATCCCACCTAGTGCTCTGCACAGCAGCTGAGTGCTAGCGTTTGTAGGCCAGTCCAGATCACAACCTCCCACAGGCCCTGGGTTCAATAGAAAATGCTCTCAGAAGGGGTGCAGAGGGTCAGAACCAGGGGTAAGGGACAAGGAAATTAGATTTGTTGCTGACTGAGAGATCGCCCCAGGTAGTCCTTCTCCTCTCTGTGCCTCAGTTGACCTCATATGCTTAACTAGTGGGTGGGGTCAGCTCCTGGCCTTGTTCTAAAATTATCCAAACAGCGTTTTACAGGTGGAAACTCAACAAGATGCTGCATCTCTTCTCTCATGTGTTTACCCCCTGCCGCCCCCTCGCTCTGTCATCCTCTGCAGGGGAAGAGGGAGCAGAGCCCGAGCCCGAGGTGGCGCCTGAGCTGGAGCTCTCCGACTACCCCTGGTTCCACGGGACACTGTCCAGGGTCAAGGCAGCTCAGCTGGTGCTGGCAGGCGGGCCCCGGAGCCATGGCCTCTTTGTGATCCGCCAGAGTGAGACTCGGCCTGGGGAATATGTACTGACTTTCAACTTCCAAGGCAAGGCCAAGGCAAGTGTGCAGCGGGGCTGTGGGCAGAGTGGCCAGCCCTGGGCGAGGGGGCTGAGTGAGCCCTGGTCCTGAGTCTGAGCCCATACCCCCGGAGGAGGCTGGGCGGGTGCAGGTGTGGCATGACTGTCCATGGGCCAGGCCTACCCCTGGCCACACCCTTGGAACCACCTGGGTCCCTCCCACACCTCTCTGGGGTCTTGTAAATCTGCCCCAGATATGGCTTCTCCATTATCCAGACGGGAAGTCCCTCCTGTGGCTGAGCACTCGGGAGGCCAGGCCTCCTAAGGACGTAACTTTGACCCTGTGTATTAGGGATCACATAGCACTGAGGCTCCAGAGGGTCTCTACCAGGAGCCACCTCAGTGCAGGACTAGGGTCAGCCAAGGCCCTCCTGCCCCACCCACTCCCAGATAGCCCCGCCTCTTGCCTCCTCAGGTCAGTTCACCCCTTCCTGGGCCCCAGGCTGAGGGACATGGAAGGGAACCACACACAGGGATCCTAGAGGACCAAACTGGAGAGGAGAGGCTGGGCCCAGCAGGAGGGCAGTGCTGGGCGGAGGGCTGGAGTAGGAGCAGACCTTGCCCTGGGATGTGCAGGGGAGGGAGGAGAAGGGGGAAGGGCGAGCCAGGCAGAGCAAAGGTGTGACAGTGCTCCCAAAGTGGACTCCCGGGGAAGGGCATTGTGTGCTAATATAAGGACCTAAGGTGCACAGGAAAATATAAATATGTCCGAAAAGTCAAATGACTGTGGGGGGTTACAGTGTGACCAGAAGGGGCAGAAACCTCAACCCTTGCCCCTCTCCCCCCACCCCCCTCCCCAACACACACACACACACACACACACACACACACACACACACAATCCTGAGTTTCTGATAAGGAAACGGACCCAGCCAGGCTCCTCCCAGGACATGGTTCCTGTCAGTCCTGCTCACCCAGCCCTCCTGCTCCAGGCCTACACTCAGGGTCCCAACCCCCAGCTGGCCTGGGGCGAGCCCTCCCCTGGCTCCCTGGGCCTTTGTCCCTGGCAGTGTTGTCACTCTGTGGAGGAGGCAGCACCTCCCCAGGGACGCCTCCTTGGAAAGCAGCTGCCCTTACCAGTTCCTCTGACAACCAGGCGCTTAATGCCATCCTGGCAGCCCCAAGTGTAGTCCTTGGCCAGCACTGCCCCAAGCAGCCTCCCTGAAGGGCCTGGCTCTGACTCACGCCCAAGCCAGAGGCGAGAATGGTGCCCAGTCAGTGCGGGGCAAGGGGGCCAAAGTGGGGAGAAGAAAGAGCTGGACCCTCCTCTCCTCCCAGGAGAAAGGAAAGACCCCGCATTGAACTCCTGCCACTCCTGCCCTCTCAGGGACCCCCGCCTCCCGCTGGCACTCCTCCTGGCCTCTTTTCACCTTCAGATAATAAACATCCGGAAGGTTTTCCCAAAGACAGATGCACCCACCTTGCCTCAGGCCCTGCCCCGAGTGCCATTACTGCTCCCCGGCTTCACTGACTGTTCTGGCCCTTCCGGCCCTACTGATTGGCACAATTCACTCATGGAACCATCCCCACCACCCTACCCCTGGGCTGCTGTCCTGTATGTAGGTGGCTAGGCCGTGTGCATACCCTGAGGCCCTCCGTCCACCTCCCCTCCTGCCATACACAATGGCAGCCACTCCTCCTCCTGTGGGACGCATGTTGCGCTGAAGCCAGAGACCTGTGCTCACCGCTAGAGCCCCAGGCTTGTGGCTCCTCTCCCTGGGCGTCCGCCCCATGCGGGCCCGGGAGGCACCAGCCTGCTCCCCGTGCTCCAGGAGCTCCCGCTGCAGCCGTGAGAGGCGCAGTCACTCCCTGCCAGCCTCCCCTGGTTTCCAACCCTCTGGGCTTTGACTCTGTGGGGAGCAGGGCGGGAGAACCACACCTACAGGAGTCCGTGCCTTGTGACTGGGTGAGTCGCTCCTTCGCTGTGCCTCCGTCTCCCATCTCTAAAACGGGGGCTGTACTCTCCGCCTTCTGGAGAATGTGAGGGGCATGATGTGGGTGCTCCCACCACAGGGACAACTGTCTGCTCCCTTCAGTTCCAGCCTGGCTCTGCTGCCCACCCATTCCAACCCCCACCACAGGAGGGACTCCCCACCCCACCCCCAGATGGGACTCATGTGGTAGGAGCCAGCTCCGACACAGCCCCAGGGGGCTTCTATGAGACTTGGTCCTCCCAGTGACCCCCAAAGGCATTTGCCAGTCCAGGACCCCACCCCTGACCATGCGGCTCTGTGCCCACAGCACCTGCGCTTGTCCCTGAACGGCCACGGGCAGTGCCACGTCCAGCACCTGTGGTTCCAGTCGGTGCTTGACATGCTGCGTCACTTCCACACCCACCCTATCCCGCTGGAGTCCGGGGGCTCCGCAGACATCACCCTCCGCAGCTACGTGCGGGTCCAAGGCCCCCCGCCTGGTAAGACGCCCACCTGGGCGGTGTACTGGCTCAAGAAATAGGTGGGCAGTGGGGGGAGGGAGTTGCTTAGGCCGCATCCCAGCTTAGCTAACTCTAGAGCAGTGGTTCTCGACCTTGGCTGCACATTAGAATCACCTGGGGTTCTGTTATGGGGTGGGGCCACAACATTAGTAACAAAGAAACACAATTTCCAGAGGATGAGGCCCAGAAATCAGGATTGTAAAAAGATTCCCAGGTGATTCTAATGTGCAGCCAAGGTTGAGAGCCACTGCCCTAGTGGGATGAAGGCCAGGACTGGGGCTGTAAGCAATCAGGGCCATTAGGATTGGAGGGGGCGTGGCAGGCCCACCGCGCGTCCTGAGTGCTTCCTCCAGGGGGACGGGGTGCTCAGAGGCAGCAGCGGCCATTCCCTGGACACAGGTGAGACTGTGACCCTGGGCACCCCCTTCCTCCGGGCCTCTGGTCCCCGTCTGAGCACTGGGTCTGGGGAAGGGGACTAGGGAACCCAAGCGGGGCACTGACGCGCTGGGTCCTGTTGCAGACCCGGGGCCCTCGCCCAGCGCCGCGCCGGCGCCCCCCGCCTGCTGGAGCGAGCCGGCCGGCCAGCACTACTTCTCCAGCCTCGCTGCCTGCCCGCCCGCCTCTCCCTCCGAGGCCGGCGGCGCCTCGTCCTCTTCCGCCTCCTCGTCCTCGGCCGCCTCCCTGCCCGCCGCCCCGCGCACCACGGAGGGCCTGCTGAGCGCTCGCAGCCGCAGCAACAGCGCCGAGCGGCTGCTGGAGGCGAGCGGTGCCGAGGAGCCCCCGGAGGCCGCGCCCGGCGACGGATCCCGCGGCCGCACGCGCGCGGTGGAGAACCAGTACTCCTTCTACTAGCCGGGCGCCACGGCCCTGGGCCCCCGGACCCGCCTGGCCACCGCCCTCGTGGCCGTCCGTCCAGCGGACCCTGCTTCCCTGCAGGTGTCGGCCCCAGTCCAGCGCTGGGTGGGAAAAGCGAAGCTCTTCAATGAAGACATAAATGTTATTAAAGAGCCTGTTTTAGGGACTGCACCTGGCTCTCCTGTTGTCCTTTCTTCTATCCTGGCCAATGGGCACCGCTCCTTCTGGGACTGAAGGGGAGAAGGGGGTACCACGTGTGGGACCCCCTATTAAGTCCACCGTGTCCTGGCGCCTGCCAAGCCCCCACCCAGCTCTGTATTTAGGGGACCCAGCTCCCCATTTGGCTGGGGAGACAACTGGCAGTAACTAAATGAGGCACAGAGATAAAACGCTGGACCAAAGAGCAGGGCTCAGGGAGACTGCCCAGGGGGGGACGGGAAGGGGCTTTATAGTGGAGCTATGAGAGAGGGGTTGGGGAGAGGTGAGTGAGCAGGGCAAGAATGAGAGGGTAGGGGAAGGAGGGAGGGGGGCCCTGGATGAGGGTACAGGGTAAAGGATGGTGAGGAGGTGGAAAATCCTGGGCCTTGACAACCAGGATGAGGAGATGAACCCTAGCTAGGAGACAGGAGTGTCCTTGGGCAGGTCATGGGGGGGGGGGGGGCGGCAGGATTTCTGCACATTAGCCCATTGGGGGATAGACAGTGGGAGAGGCTGGTTTGCCAACTTTGACCTAGACTCAAACTTGGAAGTGGCCTAGAGAGCCCTCCTACATGCACCTTCACCCCTACCACTAACCCCTGCTTCTCTGCAGTTCGGGGTCTCCAGGCCCTGGACACACAGCCTGCTCACAGTCCCAGCTCTCCAGCCCACAGGTGGTGCTCCCTCTGAGGAGGATCTTGTTCCTGCTGAACCAAAGGGCGCCTTGTCCTCTCGTGATCCAGACTCTGCCTCCCCACCCGGGCACAGACCCACAGTTCCCCGGCCAGGAGCGAGTGTCCTCGCAGGGTCTGCATCTGTGCTGTGCATGTCAGACCCCCAGACAGCTGATCCTCCCAGGACTGCACCTGGGTACCCACATGCCCTTCCCCCATGTGAGGGCACTAGCACCCTCAGTGGCCAGTCCTGACTCACAAATGACAGGGAAGTGGCTGAGCAGTGCTTCTGCTGCCACCATGGGGAGCATCCTGTACCCGGCTTCCGGCATCTCCATCCGTGTGGCTGGATCCCCTCTGCACTGTAGACGCTGTGCCCTGGTGGTTTGGGGTCTATGCCAGGCCACGTGCAAGCCCCAATCCCACCCTGATAGGAGGAGAGGAGGGTCTGGGCAGAGGCCAGGGGCTGGTGAAAGCTCCATTTGGCTGCCTCTGCCTCTGTCAGCTGAGCTGCAGACATCACCCCCAAACCTAAGGCTTCACCCTTTCTCCCTTGGTGGATTTGCCCCTCGGAATAGTTCAAGGTGGCCTCAAGGGTGGGGTTAAAACTTGACACACACAGTGTGTCATCATTCAGGCCCTACTGTCCCCTTTAACGGTCAGCCACAATGGAGGTCACTTTACCTGCCAAGTGCCAAAGCAGGAATCTAGGCCTGGATTCCTGTCAGTGAGGCACTGACAGCTGTAACCTTGCTGAACTGGGGGTCCCGAGTATGAGAACATTGGAGGGGGTCTGCACCCACCCTAAGGGTGGCAGCCAGGCATTGTTCCTAAGATGTTCCCAGGTTAAAATGAATTTAGGGGAGAATAAAAGAGGAGATGACGTCCACCATCTGGGGCTCCCCCAAGGGACGTTGCACTAAAGCCCAGCAGCAGGTGGTCAAGTGGAAAGCGGGCTCTCTCCAGTGTGGTCCCACGAGGAAACCCTCAGGCCTGTCACTCAAAGTGGTGCTTCCAGAAGCCAGACTCGGTAGGACCCCGGAGAAGCCACAGCCGTTGCACAGGTGGCGGCAGCATTTTCAGGGGCTTCCTCTGCTCCTCCGCAAGCATTTCAGGTGCCTGCTCTGTGTGCCAGGCCAGGCACATGGGGAGCTGGGCAGGCAGCCAGGCGGGTCTATCACAGTGTGATGGGCAGCCACAGAGGGTGGGAGACTGCAAATGCAAGGGGCAGGGAGAGGGACACAGACCAGCAAGGCTGAAAGGGCCTGAGTGCCAGGCCAGAATTCAAGGGCTTTAGAGAGCAGAGCTAGTTTGAAATGGGAGCTGGAATGGGGTCAGGTTTGTGTTTTAGACAGAGCATTCTGGGGCCAGGGTTAGGGGTGGGAGGATGGATTGGAAGGGAGGAAAATGCGGCCAGGGGTCCAGGGAGTCTGCAGTAAGTCTGGAGGAGGAACAATGATCTGGGCCAGGGCGGAAGAGGAGAATGGTGATGGAGGAAAGATCACCCATGGCTGATGGCAGGACTGGGGAAAGATGGGGGGTCTCTGGCTTAAGGCTTGGAGAACAGTGCGACCCTTGCTGGAGGCTCCACCTGAGAAGGGCGATGGAGAATGTGGAATTCAATGGAAGAAATTGACATCTTGCTGTCTCCAGCAAAGGCCTCCCAGGAACTGTTGGTCTCTGTCTAGCCCCGAACCACACCATCCAACACTTTGCTGTCAGATCTCCCAACTCTTTCTTCGAATAAGAGATGGGATCAGGTATTCCCTACCTGAGCCACAGAAGGGTGACTTTGACTACCGGACGTCTCCAAGATGAAGAGCTCAGGGCCATGGAGAGGTAAGCCACTGCCACTGATACACTCTGCTGGGGGGGGTGAGGGGGGCGGGTAGTGGGGTGGCCCTCAACCCAGAGACAGGTCCACAGTGAGGCTAAGTCTTGAGCTTGACCAGGGGTGACCTGGTCTCCGAGGGCTACAGGGTAAACCAAGGGTGCACGGTCTCCCTGGGAGGGTGCCCAGGCCTGACCACATGAATGGGTTTTCCCTTCCTCAGCCCACCAGCCAGACCAAGAAATGGGAATATGCTCTGCGTCCTGCTTGCAGTCATGAAGCTGAACTTGCCCCCAGGAGGTCACTGCCTGGGGATGGAGGTATGTGTGCTGGGGGAGGGCGGGGTGTCACACCTGTGTCTGCCCCGTCAAAATGCAAAGCCAGGTATGTTAGGGCCCTGAAGGTGAACATCCCTCCAGAAATGGAATTGATGTACCAGTAATGATTCAAATAAATAATTTCAAATAAATGGTTTAAATAGACAGTTTCTTCTGGCAGGTTCTCCTAACTCAAGCTAGTCTGAGACTCTTTGGGGTAGAAATAAAACTCCTGGGACCTAGAGGGGTTCTTATATGCTTAGTATTAAGAGACAGTAAAGCAGCACTAATACAGATTTTGGGTAATAAATCTCAATCATTCTTCCAAAATCTTTTAAAAATGGGGAAAATAAAGGTGCATCTGGCCAAGCCTGGGCAGAGAGTTGCTGCAGGGCAGGAGTTCTTAATCTCTTTTGTGCCTCAGACCTCTGAGTCTGGTGAAACGTAGGGACCTCACTCAGAATAAGTTTTAAAACTCATGAAGTCAGCCCTAGCCAGTTTGGCTCAGTGGCTAGAGCATCGGCCTGTGGATCGAAGGGTCCCGGTTTTGATTCCAGGCAAGGTCACATGCCTTGCTTGCAGGCTCCTCCCCAGCTTGGGCCCTGGTGGGGGCATGTGCAGGAGGCAGCCAATCGATGTGTCTCACATCGATATTTCTCTCTCTTTCCCTCTCTCTTCCATTCTCTCTGAAAAGCAATGGAAAAATATCCTCAGGTAAGGATTAAAAAAAAAACAACTCATGAAATAAAATAATAGACTTTCAAAGGAAACCACTGTAAGTCAGTCAAAATATTAATTATAATAAAAGTAATTAAATGTGTTTTCAAACTTGTGATGTGGTGATACATTCTGTATTAACACTGTAAATAACGAGCTTTAGCAGCAGCTCCAGGAAGTGGCATAATTTCAAAGAACGATGAGTGTAAATAACACTTCAATGTTTTTGCAACAACCAAGATGTGATGTGAAAATATCCCTGATTTCTACTCATGGCAAAGTGACAGGTACTTCTAATACTGCTTTGGTTTCTCTTTAAATGAGAGAAATACCATTTTTAGTTAGGGGTTAATTAAAAATATAGATCCCATTCAAGTTAATAAACTTAGTGAATGGTTTATCCATGAACCATCTCAGGACCTCAGGTTAACAAGCCTGCTCTAAGGGGTGAGGGCAAATGGCCTGTATTTGGAATAGAATGTTCAGAAATGGCAGAGACAACAGTGTGTTGCCCGCTACCCAAAAGCCTTCAGCTGGTCCCCCACCTGACAGTGAACTTGCAGCATAAATTAATCTCCTGAGCTACTTTAACATGATCAAGAATATTGATCTCAAAAAATAAACTGCACAAGGACCCAGCTTTTAGTGATGAGAGGAAGGTTGTGTGGTTCTGGAAAATTCTCTATTACTGACCTTATTCTCCCTATTTTGTACTGGTTGGAGAGAACTAATGAAAAGAAAAAAATTAGCCCTAACCGGTTTGGCTCAGTGGATGGAGCATCGGCCTTCGGACTCAAGGGTTCCAGGTTCAAATCCAGTCAAGGGCATGTACCTTGGTTGTGGGCACATCCCCAGTAGGGAGTGTGCAGGAGGCAGCTGATTGATGTTTCTCTCTCATCGATGTTTCTAACTCTCTATCCCTCTCCCTTCCTCTCTGTAAAAAAAAAAAAAGCAATAAAATATATTTAAAAAATAAAAAGAAAAAAATTAAAGGTTTTATGCCCACATAGATTTATGCATTGTAACTTTCAACTTGGATTGTCAGTTAGAAAGATGTTTTGTAACTTAACTGAGATTAAAGTTTGGTGCTTGGGAGCTTTTTTAAAAAATATATTTTTTTATTGATTTCAGAGAGGAAAGGAGAGGGAGAGGGAGATAGAAACATCAATGATGAGAAAGAATCATTGATCAGCTGCCTCCTGCATGCCCCCTACTAGGGATCCCATGTGCCCTGGCCAGGAATCGAACCTTGACCTTCTGGTTCATAGGTTGATGTTCAACCACTGAGCTACACTGGCTAGGCAGTGCTTGGGAGCTTTAAAGAACACCATGAAATTCATAGAGACTGAAAGCAGATTAAAGGTTACTAGTGGCTCTGGGGGGAAGGGATTGAAGAGTTATGGGTACAGAATTTCTATGTGAGGTGATAAAAAAGTTTTGGCTATAGATATGGTAATGGTTGCATAACATTGTGAATGTTATTACTGCCACTGAATTATATGCTTAAAATAGTTAAAATGGCAAGTTTTATATTATTTATATTTTTGTGCATGCACACATACACACACCAAACAAATTACCATCTACACAGAACAGATTGGCAAAAATTAAAGTCTTTCAGTACTCTGGCCAAATTGAA